ACTGTTCTTATCTCAACCCAGGAGTTTTTCTCACTCTTCTGGTTCTCTCCCCCATCTCGCAGGGGCCGGGGGAGTGAGTGAGCGGCTGCGTGGTGCTTAGTTGCTGGCTGGGGTTAAACCATGACACTCTCTTCTGCCAAATCTCCCAGGCAGTTCTAAATCAACTAGGATCAGGATAAATTCCACTTTAGCTCTCCCTTTCTCCCTCACCTACAGACACAGAATTGCAGACCTCACAGTAGCATTCTGATGTTTGTTCAGACTGTATTAAACTAGCCAGTTTCTGCTGCTATCCTGTCCCCCCAATACTTTCACTTTTTCTGTACCTTGTTTTCAGAGCTAAATGAGGTTAAAATACAACCTCAGGAACATGTAGTATAGTAAATTACTGGAGGTATTCTGAAAGCCTTCACAAATGGGTGGGTGTAAAAAGATTGATGGTGTGTTTAGGTTGGGGAGGAGATTAGGAAGAAGTAAATGATAGGATTGGAGTAAGGACTGGCAGAGATGAACGTTCAAGTCCCGCTGCATTTCTTCTTTTGTGATCCCTGCATTGGGGAATATACTTCTAAAGGCAGCAGGGTTAAATCTGGTGATGAAAGGAAATACCTTTGCCCTATGCATAGTAGCAGAAAGACATAGAAGAGTTGTAATAAGTATATAATCTGGGAAAACTCTGTTTATATAGAAAAGTGTACAAACAGTTGCATATTTGATAATTTTCTTTATTTTAATGGACTTCCATCTGAAACATTCAGTATCTCGGGTACTTAATTTGCCTAACCACTGACTTGTCCCATTATGACAATTACTGTAGGTGAATTTTTGCCCATAATCTTTGTCTTTGTGTTGACAATAGCAAAGGTCAGATGAGAGGGAACTTTTCATACCGTATGTGTTGTAGGCATGCATGCTGGGAATGAGACTGTGCCCAAGTAAAATAGAAACTCCTTTCAACAAGTTAAAGCCTTGAGCAAACATCTAACGTGCCTATGTGCAGCAGTCAGCCTATTCTTAGACTGACACTCAAATCTGACTTAAAAAATAAAAACCTATTGTGTTGTTTGCAGGAGTCTGTGGAAGCACTTCCGAGCCGTCAGCCTCTGTTTGTTCTTACTCGTGTTCCCCGCGTACATGGCCTACATGATTTGTCAATTTTTCCACATGGATTTCTGGCTGTTGATCATTATCTCCAGCAGTATTCTAACCTCTCTTCAGGTAAGAATGTTAGCCCTGTAGTAACTGTGAAGCCCTGCATTAACTGTGATCCTGTTACTCTAGAGGGGGAAATACATGATGAGAAAAGAACAGGGGTGATAGAAGGGCAGAAGTACAAGATATGAGATAAAATCTCTTTCTTTATCCTGTATCTGAGGCTAAGGAGCTCCTAGGAGTGGGCTGAGAACATAGGTGAATGGAAGTCTATTTTAAATTGTAAAGCCAGAAGGCTTTTGAAGGCATAACTGTCATAGTATAAAGTTGGGTTTTTTTTTCACAGAGTACTCATTTTATGTATTGTTACTTAGCTATGGCTCTACAAAGGCAATTTGATGTTCACAAAACACTGAAATTTTGCGTGTAGTGTAAGTACAAGAAACGTTTTGTAGTATGAGTATTTGTTATAACTTGGGGTTTTTATTATTAAATTTATAAAATTGCCCCTCATGATGCTCAGCAATTTTTAATCAACTTAGCTTTGTTCTGGACTCAGGAAAGCACAGGAGGGGAAGTACTTGGGAACAAGGCTAAATGCTTTGCAAGAAGGAGTGACTTTTATTTGTCTTGAAGTTCAGCAACAATTTTACTGCTTTGGGGCTTGCCTGCCCTCTGTCTGACTTGGGAGCGTTGCGTGTACAGAGCTTTATGGACAATGCTGAATGGCTTAAGCTCCAGTTAAGAATAGAATGCTGAGCTCATGGTCTTGCACTGTCTTACAGGTGCTTGGGACACTCTTCATTTATGTTTTGTTTATGGTGGAGGAGTTCAGAAAAGAACCAGTAGAAAATATGGATGATGTGATTTATTATGTAAATGGCACGTACCGGCTGCTGGAATTCCTCGTTGCGCTCTGTGTGGTGGCGTATGGTGTCTCAGAAACAATCTTTGGTGAATGGACTGTGATGGGTTCTGTGATCATCTTCATCCACTCCTATTACAATGTGTGGTTGCGGGCCCAGCTGGGGTGGAAAAGTTTCCTTCTTCGAAGAGACGCTGTGAATAAGATAAAATCACTGCCTGTTGCCACAAAAGAGCAGTTGGAGCAACACAATGATATCTGTGCCATCTGCTACCAGGTAAGAATGGAAGTGTCAAAAGATTGACTTAAATTGAAATACCTTTAGACTGTCAAGTTCAGTCTACAACTAGCAAAATAAGTTTAATATGTTTAATGAGTAATACTGTACTCAGTAAGTTACTTGAGTTACACAAAGCAGAAAACTGGGTGAATTGATTTGGAGTGCTGTCACCGAGATAGTTTCAATGTGTTTAAACTTTCATTCTTTTTTCTCCAGTTACACAACAAACTGTGTCCTTGAGCTTTTTTGAAACCTCTCATATTTGGGTTGAGCTGGTCTCAACAGTAACAGCAGATGTGCCCTTTCTTCATTAGCGGAAGATTTTGTTGCTGAAAGACAGTGTGTACTCAGTAGCTGATTTGTTGTTATGCCGCAGAAGCAGCTCAGTCTCTACAGACATTGCTACTTCCACTTCATGTACAATGTCAGTTTTATAACAGAAACCTAATTATCAAAGGATTATAAGGGTCTTTCTAATGTAAGCCAGCAGATGTAAGGACCTTAAAAATTAGTGCTGAAAGTAGTATCTTTATCACACCTCTAGCTCCAAAGTCTCTTTCTCTTGGATAGAGATGTGGTTATGTACGACAGTGAAAGAACCACCCTAAGATTAGTAGTGTGCAGTTGGAGTGCAATTGGATTGACTCCAGACTTGATAAAAATTCTTTGAGGAGTAAAACTACTGGTGCCAGGTTAAATGACAGTGTTTGAAACACCAGACTAGTAATATGTGGGTCTCAGCTGACAGGGTGTTACTTCATTTCTGGTTTGCTGCTGTTATGTGTTGTATCTGTAAGTGTGCTGGTTTTGACTTGCACAATTGTTTCTTAAGCCAACTAATCCCGTGACTGTCATCCTACAAAAGCTTTTATTTAAGTGTAATAATACCTTACAAACAAAGCTTTTCACCTAATTTCTAATCCTGCCAGTATAAACAGCCAGACCTGGCCTTTGTTTGAATTGTGTGTGTATTTGAATGTGGAGGCTTGTTGGTATGAAGGAAGGAACGTTCTCTTATTTGTCTGTGGACTGCTTCTGTCTCCTCTGTGGCTAGTGAACCCATTAGATGGATGGGATGAGAGGAGAAGAATGGGATTACAAATAATATGATTTTTCTTTTTTTTTTCATGTCTTTCAGGATATGAAAACTGCTGTAATTACACCATGTAGCCATTTTTTTCATGCGGGTTGTCTTAAGAAATGGCTGTATGTGCAAGAAACCTGCCCTCTGTGCCACTGCCAACTTAAGAGCCCTTCACAGCTACCGGGACTGGGACCAGAGCCAGTTCAACAGCCAAATCCTAGTGCAGAGCAAAATACCAGACCTGGAGATGCAGCTGAGCCCCCTGGTGTTGAACATGACAATGGGCCAAGTATTAAAGATGGCCCTAGCAAGAGTGACGGACAGGGTGCTGATGGACAGGACAGCCTGGAGGCCTCTGCTGAGATGGAGGGGTCTCAAAGCATGGACAGTGACACAAGCCCATGTGAGGCCAGCCAGGGAGCAGCTTGTGCTGCAGAACTAATTGCAGCCCCAGAGGGGTGCCCCGCTCAAGACCCGAGGGCTTGTGTCCGGCTCTAAGGTGACAAAGGATGACGTGGGAACAAACACATTTCAGAGATCCAAGTTTGACTCCGAAGAAAACCTATCCTTCCACAGCTGTGAAAGAAGTTTAGCTATTAATGCTGGTCAAAATGTAATCTCCCATGCTGATTTTTGTGGGCTGCTTGGTAGCGGTAACTCCAGTGAGATGTAGTAGAAATTACTCCAGAAGCTCTCTGAACTGTGGGCATAGGAAGGATGTCTGGAAATAAATTGCAGTGAAGGAGTGTTTCAAGACGTAGGTGAGGGAGGAACGAGAGGTCTGTGAGAGACTGTAGACAGACGGACAGAACACTAGCTTTTGTTTTGGTCAGGAAGAAGGTATCGCATATAGCCATGTCCCAGGGTACCTGAGAGGCGTTAAATGCAGTGAGTTGCTAGTCTCTGACTGAGGTGCAGCTTTGGTTGCTGACAATTTTTTTATGGCACGTAAGCAAAAAATCAAAGATATAACAGCAGTGATTGTACTAGAAGATGGAAGCACTCTTAATACGTCATGTGTATGCTTTGGGTGTTCTTGGTGGGGCAATTGCATTTGAATTCATGTAATCTATAGTGACTCTTGACTTTTATGACGGAGTCTTCAATATTTTGATGTATATGAAACTTTTCCTAATAACGGGCACAGTCTGGGCTGTATGAAGTAAACTAAAGCTCTAATGAACACTTTGACCTCTGCTGCCATGCGCAGGAGGAAAGTGGGATGAGTTTTAGGGCACAGATAGAGGCCTTGCAGTACCGTGCTGTGTAATGTTTAATTCTTGCAGCTGAATTAAAACAGTATTAAACTCTGGCGATATTTGCACTTTGGGAATGAGTACATTATTGTGTATGATCAGACTCCGCAAATGCCACTTCTAAAGCTGTTAATAGGTTTGCAACTTTTTTCTTTGACAAGGACATGTCCATACTTAAATTTTTACATGCATCATGGCTTCAAGTAGAACTAGGGATTGGGGTGGGGAAATAGGTGGGAGTAGGGGGCAGGCAATTTTTTTATGTGAATTTTGATATGAAGAGAAATTAGTCACTTATTTATACGATAGGCTTGACTCGAGTGTTTTTCAAAGTTGGTATTCCTAATGTGAAATGTGATACTATTTTATTTTTAGTAGTAAATTTGGATGTAGACTGACAGACATAGCTGAATGTCTTAATAAATTACATTTGAAGATTTTTATACCTGGTTATGTGATTCTTGTACTGAAATTCCATGAATTAAGTGTGTGTTGAGAGGCTCTTCTGCAATAGCAGCTCTCTGTTCCCCTTGGAGATCAGTGGAACTCCTGATGCATGCGCTCTCCCCCATTTCCATTTCAGTGCTGAGTGTCTGGTGGTACCTCCCGGCCTCCTCTGGTCCTTGCCACCAGATGTTCGCCAATGCAGACAGAACAGCAGCAGAACACTGAGGCACGTTTGCTCCTGGAGGCCGTGTGGGCTGCCTGCTGCTACTGAGCCCCAAGCATAAACCCAGACCTATTTCCTTCTCACCTGACAGGATGGGAATATCAGTTGCACCATCCTTTGATTCTGTATCTCAGTTTTGTTTTCTTGCATGTTGATAAGAAATTTAGGTTTAGCATGTGCTTCACTGATCATTGCAAAGCTTTTTTTAACAGCTGGGTGTGTTTGGGGGGAAAAAATTTTGAGAAACTTTTTCTGGAATTATTCTTTTTTACTCCTGTTCATCAGTGGTCTGGGTCCTGCTCTTCCAAGCCTGCATTTCTGGGGAAGTGAACCTTTCTCAAAAAGATGTTTTGTATTGTGTCCAAGCGTTTAACCTACACAATTTAGACTGTTTCCGTTCTACCCACACTTAAAGGTTTGTGGAGGCAGGGAATTTCTGGGTAGCACTGTTGTGGGGTGCTCTTTACTATTGTGAAACAAAGACTCTCCCTCAGTTCACAGAGTATGTTCTTGAAGGATGCTCTGGTAAACCCTGCTTCTTGTCCCTGGGTGCGGAAAGATGACCACAGAAGCTCCTCACGCCAGTGACGGGAAGATTTTCCTTTGTGTAAGATCACCTCACTTCCATGTTAGGGAGCAGGTGGTACCCCAAGTGATTGGGAACAGGAGATGAAAAGAGCTAAGCTTGATCAGTCTTGTGAAATGAAGGCTGGAGAGGTTGTGACTGCTCTACAGATACCTTGGGGTGAATGCAAGGAAGGGAAGAGAGGAACTTGTGCTCATCTACAGTATTCACATGAGGTCAGTAAGGCAGAAGAGAATCACGGGTGTCATCAACTCCAGTTCGTTGCTATCCCACACAGTATGTCACATCATCACTTTCATAAATATAGGAAGTGGTGTTGAAAGTAACAAAAAAATAAGGTTTGCCTTCGCTGCTTATGCCGAGAAGCTGTTTCTCAGCCTGACTGATCTTCTGGCAATGAACCTTTTCATTTCTACCTTCAATTATTCATAGCTAATTGGTAATGCAAGGGACTATGGATTTACACCAACATCGGTAAGAGGTAAGTGTGCCTGGAGACTGCTCATTAAGAATCAACGGGCCCACAGCAGATTCGACAAATACACTGTCTGCCAGGACTGCGGATCGGGAGTGTGAGTGTGGCACTGGAAAGGAGCCTGAAGGACTCGGAAGGTATGTGCTGTCTTTTAGGAGAAATGACGCTGCGAGATTCCCACAGGAGTGAACCGAAACCAACTAATTCTGTGTTGGAGAAGGCACTCAAAGGTGCGGGGGCTCAGGCAATCTTAGAGTTCTGCATCCTGGCAAGGGCAGCATGGTGGGATGAAAACATCTCTGATGCACCTTCTTTACTGTAAGAAGGATATTTTCAAGAGAAAGGAGGCGAGGCTGCTAGCTTGGAGAGTTTCTTGAAGGATGGAAGTTACCGCCATTCGGTGCCAACACCATTACAAAGAGCTGTTTGTCAGAGCAAGGCGAGGTGGAGTGTGCACGTTGCTGCAGGGTTCATGAGGCAGAGCTAACTGGTTAGTAAAATCCGGACTAGAAAGTTCAAGGGTGTGTGCGTTCATTTTTGCTTCATTTTTGGTTTTGTTTTTTCCAACTCAGAAATGCCAACAATACCATTTTCTGAAAAACTAGGGACAGCTAGCTCTAGAAGGAACTTAAAAATAAGCCTGCAAGGAATGGGGGTGGGTGGGAAATAAATACTGATAAGCCAAGCAGGCTGTATCTTACGGGTCGGGAAGTTCAGGGATGAAGTGAGAACTGCCAAAACTCATGCCAAGTTAGATCTTGCAGAAGAAATAAACTGTGTAACTTGAAGGGGAACAGGAGAAAAAGGGGGAAGGCTGCTATGGGGGAGCAGGGAGGTGAGGAATGAAATGAACCTTCTGTCTCTGCTCTGTAGAGCGTCTGGGTTGAATGCTCCTGACCTCTGAGCTTGGTGTGGTGCAGAACTCCCTCTTGGACACTGCTTGCTTTGAGTTGATTTTCTTTTTCTCTGCAGCTGTGCATGAGTACATGGGGGGGGGGAAGCTTTTTGAGTGTTTATGATCAGGGTATAACTGTAGGATGAGGCTTGAAATCGTTTCCATGTGCACTTCTTCTGATAGTGGTGTGATTGACGAACATTTGGACTCAAAAAGATGCTTCCAGCTAGGTGATATAATGGGAACAGTTGGGAATTTTATGGCTGGGGGGGGGTTTTTTGGAAATGGGAGCACTGATCACATGGTGTGATGGTGTGTGTCTAGTCAGTCCTATTGAGTATCCACGTGCTGCTGATTTACGGAGTCCATTGCTCTGGGCTCAGGGAAATGTATTTACACAAGGTGAGATGACTCCATGAGAAGAGCAAACAAGTCTGTGGCTAGGAATTTGATTTGAAAGCCTCGGTTTGAATTGCATTGCTCTCAGCTCCGTTGGCTTTTGGCTCTTTCACAGCAGAAGAATCCATTTCCTTCCTTGTTCCTAGTGAAGCACTTCAATTTATGCCAAGGCAGAGAGTTCTTGAAATGCACAAGGTTCTCTAGCGTGGGAAAACCTCTTCATTCCGAGTCCCCTTCTTTCCTGATTAATTTTAAATTCAATTTCGAAGTTACCTCAATCCTTTTCCTAAAATAGACCAGAGTTTGGACTTAAACCATCTGAAGGTTTGAGAACAAACTTGTAACATTTTTTTTTCCTAACTGGCAGGGACAGTTAAGGAGTTTGATTTCTGTTGGTTCAAAATTCAAAATATGTCTAGCAAATAAGAGATGAAATACAAGGAAGTTCATATCAATGTCTAAATAAAAAAAAAAAAACCACGCTTGGGAAGGAGAACTGGCTGTTTGAACCATGTTATTTTGTCGGGAAGCCAGCTGTGTTCAGAATGAACGTAACCAAATTAGAGTGAAACTGATGTTGCTGGATTTTGTTTGGGTCAGGAGAGCAAAGGGCAGGAAGCCCGCTTGGTTTGAAGCAGGCAGTATGTCACAGCACGGCACGGTAATCGCTGGGTTAGAAGTTCTCGAGAAGGAATGGTCCACAGACCACTGCTGGTTTATACTGCTCTGAGGAGGGCTGTGGACGCGACTAGAGGATTGGTGCTGGCTTTTTTCCTCCTGCATGTTAAATTTGTATGAAGAGACCTTTAAATAATTTTCTAGCACTACTTTTCGGTCTCTGCAGCGTCTGGAGCTGTTGCAGATTAGCTAAGTCTGTCCTGTAGGGATTTCTTATTCCAAGTCTGGCCTGTGATGTCACCCCACAAAAACATTTGTGGGAAAGATTGACAAATACATTTCCCTACTAATCTCTTTGGCTTTGCTTGCACTTATAAAGCTGTCAGTAAATGCAATTTTAAACTCAGTTTTTCTTAGTGTTACAATACTGAGTTTAGAAATGAATTGGTCCCTATTTTTGGGATGGGTATGTTCAATCACATTAAAGATGACAGTTTGCTCCCCCACCCCCTGAAGATAGCAGTTTTCTTTTTGACAATGCCTATTTCTTTTGACTATGGCTATTTTACTTACTAGCACCCTGCTTGAGTCCAAGGCTAGAGGTGCGGTGACTTCTCTCCTTGGTGCAGTTTAGCGCTGCAGCACTGGGTGGCTGTGCCTGGGAGATGGCTGTGACATGGAGATTCTGGACAGGGAAATTCCATCTGTTTTCATAAAGGAAGTTATGATTCAGCTGATAAACCAGTCAGCAAAAGTATTCTGTGGCTCCAAGGCATTGATTATTCTTTTGAAAACAAACACTGTCTTTTAGAGAAAACAGTAGCCTGCAAAACTTGGTGCGCTCTCTACGACTTGGAGTGCAGTAAACAATGCTAAGAGAGCATATCTGGCACACACATAAACCTAAATATGCCCACCCTGGTTAAAGAGATAAGATGTAAAAGAAAAACAAGTTATATGCATAAGCAACCAAACCAAATTAAAAAAAAAAAAAAAGATTTCTATGTGTTACAAGTAGTTAAGACACAAATTTTCCCAGTGGTTGCCATTTCCTGGAGGTTTATAATCCACATCCTTAAATAAATCTGGTAGCTAAAATTCTCTCGGCTAATACAACGGCCAAAGATCAGACGATCTGCAGCATTTTGCAGCAACAGATGTGAAAAGCCCAGGACTGTGATGTGGATAAGTGACTTAATTCTTAGGAATTTAGAATGTAAAACTGACTTAATTGGATAAAAATAATCAATTGAATAGGTAGCTGGTATTTATAAATGAAATGATACATAGTTCTTTAACTGACCATAGTCTGAGTTTTCTTTAAATTGATTGTTTGCTTCTAGCTTGGGGAAAAAATGCCAGCTGGAATGCAGAGGAATTAAGTTGTATTTATTTTCCTTGCTAAAAGCCACATTGTGCAATTTAAAAGGAAATGTCCTTGAAAGATGGGTTCCTCTGTAAACTGTTTTAGCCCTTGTTTGTTTTCAGATGGAAATTAATTTCTCAAAGGCCTTCCATGTTAGAAACTGTGTGTTGATAAGTAAAGAAAAATGAAAAATTGTAACCTGCTAAGATACACCTTGTTGTCAAGATTAAAATTTTGCATGTGGTTGAGTTTTGGGTATAGCTGATCTGGTCATCTTGCTGGAAAAAAGGTTGGGAATGATCTTCATTTGCACAGGTGGTAGGAAACAGTCAGTGGGAGAAGCTCAAACCCAACTGTTGAATATTACTGGAACTCTTCTTTACACTTTGATGTGCTTAAGTATTAATCCTGAGTGCCGCAGAAGATGCAACC